CCTTGCAAAGCACTTGTATATTTGGCTCATTGCTCGGCTGACTGGTTGTTGGAGCTACAGACAGTACTTATGCCTCAGAGGCTGCATGTCTGTCTCTCTGACAGTCACGTTGCTCCCTTAATTTATTTTGATTTTTTTTTTTTTTTTGCTACTTTTTTTACCAAGGATTTTTTTTGCATGTGTGCACGATAGTGTCTGCTTGGCGTGGTTTTTCGCCTAAAAGCGCGCCTTGATTGTCAAGTAACTCCCTTAGCGGAATGTACGCCACAAAGTATGAAAACGAAAAACTGTAGTATTTTTATTAACTTTGACAGTAGAAAAGAAATAAACACAAAGTACTTACAAATCCGTACAAATAAACATACATAAATACATCCAAAGGGCAGATGGAACGCTGAAGCGACGTCAATAACGGCAAATTTTGAAAGGAAAAAACTTTTTCCTATTGTAAGAGGCTTTGAAACAAACATAGTTTTGGACTTTTTCATTTTTCAAACTATAATGTTCAATTTAAAGGAGTTCATTGGTAGGCCTTTGAGGTTCAATGTTGTTGTTTGGGCACATTTAAGTCATTAAATTACGAGCGGAAAATCATGTCATTCTTTTTTGGCGAAATTCTACTGATTTTAGAAAAAATGTTTCAACACAATATAATATTCAGTCCTTCTAAGTAATGAATAGAGTGCAAATAGCTTACATACATATATGCGAAGAATATTTGACAATAAAAACTTTTTTGGGGTGTTGGGACTCGGTTGCTCCAGTATAGTATATACATATAAGGTGTACAACTTTGCTTCCGCCGTTTTTTTTTCAAAACTAAAAGCTTTATTGCGAAAAAGTGATTACACATACATTATTCAAAGTATTGCCCTTCGCTAGCGACAATTTTCTCTCATCTTTCCGGCAATTTTCGGATTCCGGCTCGAAAAAACGAGTCCTCTTTTGACGCTATCCATGAAGCAATCCATTTTTCCAATTCTTCGAAGGATTGAAAATGTTGATCTGCCAGGCCGTGTGCCATCGAACGGAATAGATGGAAGTCAGAAGGGGCGACATCTGGGGAATACGGCGGGTGGGGCAAGACTTCCCATTTCAGCGTTTCCAGGTACTTTTTGACCACTTTTGCGACGTGAGGCCGAGCATTGTCGTGTTGGAGGATGACTTTGTCATGTCGCTCTTGATATTGTGGCCGCTTTTCTTTTAGCGCGCGACTAAGGCGCATCAGTTGCGTTCGGTAGCGATCTCCTGTGATGGTTTCACCCGGTTTTAAGAGCTCGTAGTAAATCACACCGAGCTGATCCCACCAAATACAAATCATAACCTTGGCGCCGTGAATATTCGTTGAAACCACTCCCGACACGTTCTTTCACTCAGAGCAGCATCACCGTAAGTTTCTGAGAGCATTCGATGCGCTTCAGCTGCATTTCTTTTTCGAATTGTAACAGAAAAGTAAAACTTCCCGCAAATGACGAGAAATAGGGACATAAACGGACATTTTCGAGCCTGAATAATACGAAAAGAAGAACAACTGTCACTGAAACGGCGATGACAATTCGTTAGGCACTGTCCACACTTACTTTAAAGGCATTATCATCTATGTATTTCAACCTAAGTTAGCACAATCTCCTTCAATCTTCTTCGTGATACTGGCGTAGACATCGCATCACAGATCTCTTCTCTTTTCTCTACTTCCCATGGGGACTTCAAATTCATGCGGACCACTTGACTTAGCCAGTGTAGCCATTCTCTCCTGCTACGCTGAACTATGCCAATGTCACTGTATATCTCGTACAGGTCATCATATAATGGCTGCGGAAATAACCGTTACCAACTTGTAGGGGACCATAAATCTTACGTAAAACCTTTCTCGCGAAAATTCCTAACGCCAACTCATCTGATGTTGTCAACGTCCAAGCCTCCACACCACACAACGACGAAAAATAATGAGCGAATTGTAGAGTTTGGTCTTTGTTCGTCAAGAAAGAACTTAACCTTCAATTCCAGGCTCAGTCCAAAGTAGCAACCGTTGGCTAGAAGGATTCTACTTTGGATTTCTACTCTGATATTGTTGCTGATCCCAGGATGCGTTGACTGTTTGTTTGATGACGGGAAATATTTTGCATTATCCTCATTCACTACCAGACCCATATTCTTCGCTTCCTTATCCAGTCTGGAGAAAGCAGAACTCACAACGCGGTTGTCAAGGCCAATAATGTTAATATCATCGGCGTAAGCCAGCAGCTGAACGCTCTTATAGATGATTGTTTCTCTAGTCAGCTCTACAGCTGGTATTATTTTTCCCATCAACAAATTAATGAAGTCAAACAATAAGGAGCCACCTGGTCTGAAACCTTGTTTGACAGAATCGGAAATGTGTTTCCCTATTTTGACGAATCTTTTTGATTATTAGTTTTGCGATGATACCAAATAAATATATAATAACGATGAAAGAGTAACCTCCTCTTCGCACTGTAGAAGGCTGCTTTAAAAAAGATGAAGAGTTGAGATGTGTCGACCTTCTTCAAAGTAAGGTAAAATCAGTTTGTTGACGGCGTTAGCCTTCCATACAATAGGGTATTGTATGTGATATTGATCTCACGGTAGTTGGCGCAAACTGTAGGGTCCTCGTCTTGCAGATTGGGTAAAGCACACTTAAATTCCAATCGTCGGGCTTTCATCCGTTCATATTCTGTACCTTGTCACCTCTTCGTGGCCGTAATAGAATATAACAACCGGCAATCTATCAGACCTCGCCACTATGTTGTTTTTCAAACGGACAATTGCTTTTCGTGCCTCTTTTTAGTCGGGCAATGAAACATCTATTCCATAGTCATTGAATAAGAAATCAGGTACACCATCTTCTGGTGCTTCATTTTTATTTCTGTTCTGCAGGTTGGAGAAGTGCCAACTCTATAAAGCCAATATACTCTAGGCAACAGTCTCTATATCATCGTTCCGGGTCCTACAAGAGTGTGCTCCGATCTTGAAATCTACTGAGTTGAGTTGAGTTATTTTGGTGTGACTGCTGATCAGAGCTGTGGTGTATTTCTTACCTTCTCCAGCTATACCAGTCGTTGCTACGTCAACCAGTCTATCTAGAAGCAGTATCCTTAAGACTTAGTGCTCAGGGTTGGACAGAGGTAGTGCTCAACAGACACTTCTTCGTATCGTTTTTTTTCTTTGCTTTTGTTTAGTTTCCAATGTGTCTCTAGACGCCCCAGTACAATCAATTAAGTGAATCGTTATGTGGAACAAGCCTCAGAAACTGAGATTTGACTAAAAATTCAGACTGTATCAAGCCAAAGTTGGTAGAAGCCACTTTAAAGCCAAGGCGGCCACAATAGTCGAGTGGTTAGTATTGCGTACTATCATTTAAAAGGCCAGGTGGTTCAAGTCCTGGTACGACATACATTTGAAAAAAATACAAAATTAATTTTTCTACTGGTGGTGCCCTCGATAGGGAATATCAATGTTCGGAGTTGGCTTAAAGTTAAATGTGGGTTCCTACAGTTGTTGGAAAAACATCAAGACGCACACCACCACTGGATGAAAGAGGAACTCAGCGGTTGCACTACCCGGATTTTTTAACCGGCTAAAGACCATCACTCCCCCAACATTCCTCAAAACCTACTTTGGAGAATATTTTTGTGTTTACAACAACAACTACTACCACTACTACTTCTACTAAGCTCTCACTAGGGACGAGAAGATCAGAAAATAATGTAAACTTTGGTGTGCCAAAGTATTTCTGGCCAAAATGCATGTATTGGGTGCTGAGCAGTTTCGGGCTGGTTTGCAAAAAGAATATTTTTTTTATTTAAAAGCATTGGAGCGGCAGAAAATTAATACTTGTTTAGGAAATCTAAATATAATCGTTCCCAACAAGATATGACCTCCCTCAAGGTTATTTTTGAGGTCACGTAACTTTTAAGTTCAAGCGAAAATTCCGTCTGCCAATTTAAAAATGCAGGAGAATTGTGAAACAAGTGTCCCGCCAGCCCAAGCATTCCAATTTAAACCAAACTAGAATCTGGTGGTGAAAGAAACAACGCTGAAGTCAGCTGCATTTTGGGCATAGAAAAAATTTTAAGCTTCACACTTAGCAATTGCATATTTTTTTCAATTCCAATTTCTCTAAAAACCAATAAAGAAAACAAAGACTGGAGGAAAGTTTCGAAAAGCAATTTCAAATCCGTGTCATAGTTTTTTTTTTATAAGGTAAAATAACGAACAGGAACATGAAATGTCTGACAGCAGCCAAACACTTATGGGGAACAGTCGCATTGCAGATTTTTTATACTGAAATCATAGAAATCCTCTATAAGGATGTATGTAATTTGTAAGTATGTACATATATACAAAGATACAAACATATGTGCATATGTAGGTTGATATACATATATGCGTATTTATGTATGTAGGTTATGATAGCTAACCTGACTGAGCAAGCAGCTACATACCTGGTTGAACTTATACATGGACATATGCACACGTACTCGAATATACAAACATATGTACACGAAATGAATAGTTTCATATACATCTGCCTACTGCCAATAAAACCTGATATATATATATATATATATATATATATAGAAATGGAATAAATATAATATCTATATATACATATATATGCTAATAAAAAAAATGTATTATATATTTGTCAATAACACTTTCTATATGCATACATACATAAGTTTTATAGCACAAAATAAAAAATTCTTTTAATCTAAATAAAACTGCAAGTTAAATTCAAAAACTTAACTTAAAATATCAATTTCAACCCAATTATCGTAAATTTTTGTAATTAAACTTTGCTAAATAGGAATTTAAACCGAAGAGGGAGGAATTACACAAACTCTTAATACTTACCCCTCACCTTCCCATTGCACAAACAAGTGAACACAAATTCTATTTACGTTCGCATGTAATCCTTATATTTGAATCGCTTAGATATCTTAAGAATTAAGTCAAAGAAATGTTTACTTTTTCTTTATTTAAAACTGTCATTTATTCAAAAAATATAAAAAAATCTTTTAAATTTCATTGATTATTCAGAAAACCCAAATACTTTAAGGTTACCGGCTTCACGTCTTCGATCGTTACCTTCTTTATCATCACAAGCATATGCAAGTAAATATTGCTTAGGATGCCATGCAACTGTGAACGTGGCAGCATCTACGGTGACGTCTGCAATCTTTTCGCCTGTTTCCGTATGTGCTATATCAATGAGTAAGTCTTCACTAGCCGAAGCTAGAAGTTTGCCATCGTGACTGAAAGAAATTGTGCGTACAGGCCAATCAAGGCGAGACAACACGCGTAAACAGGCTAACTCATTAGCATCCCATAGTGAGACAAGCGCATCGGCCGAACCAGTAGCAAAATATTTTCCTATAAATTTTAAAATAAAATCCATAATAATTTTTTATGCAGTTTGTTTTGTATGCAATACCTGTTGGATCGAATTCTATGCAAATGCAGGTGGCTGGGTGAGCTTTCAGCACGTGCTGTAGCTCCAAACTAGGATAGCTTAAAATATGCACGCAACCCATGCCATTAGTTAAGAAAAATAAGTCACTTGTATTGTTCCATGCAATTTCGTTCACCTGAATTAATTTTTAAATATATAATCAATATGCAATATGTACAAAGCAAAGATATTAGCATACCTCAAAATTGAATTGCTCCTCTGCGCGAATTTTATTTGTACGCGTATCAATGAATGTCACTAAATCTTCTTTATTGCCAACGGCTATGGTTTTACCATCAGGTGACCAAGATATGTTTATATTTTCACCTTTTGTGTTGGTAACTGTAGAGCATTTGCCGGCGCGTATGTCCCAAATGCGTACAGTTTTATCACCACTAGCCGTACTTAGGAGGTCTGCATTTGTAGCATGCCAACAAAGTTGATCGACAGAGCCGGTATGACCACGATAAGTGTTTTCTTTGCTCTGTTTTAAAAAATTATATGTAGAAATATTAAAAAATTTAAATATAAAGTAAATTGTCTACTGCATACCACCCGATCGCGTTCAAGCGTATACACCGCCACCGTTTTGTCAAAGGAACCAGATGCTAATCGTCTTCCATCACAGCTCCAACCAACAGAATGCACCTATTGATACAATTTTCAAGATATTATTTTCAATTTCAATAAGTTTTTGCCTAAAAGATACAATTTATGAAATATTTCGTTTCACCACCTTCGATGTATGCGCCTTTTGTTCACGTATTTTTCCATGTGTTTTGAAATATCCTCTCAATTCTTCTAGGGCCAGATTATTTGGTGCCATTTTTAAGATTTCAATAGTTTATTTTTTTACTTTCATTAGAGTTTTTAAACTAAAATAAACCCGTGTTATAATTCTACAAAGCCGAATCAGTTGTAAACAAAACTCCTTCTTTTTGTAGTGAATTCATACATTCACAATAGCTTCTTAAGAGCCAAATTAATTTTAAGCGGGATATACACTTATTGACCCATCATGTAGTTGCTGACTCCATAACCACTGTCGCCCAATAATACCCAGTCCGCGAATTGGTTTTGCTCAAAACTTTTTTTTTTGTTCGTTTCCTTTAAATCCGACTCGGAATCAACGTTCCATATTTTACACAATTAAATTTAGTTTTAATTTAACAGGTCTATGCAATTTTATTTATTATTTTACCATTTGCCGCTGTCAAATTTTCTTCTGATTAAGAGATAATCACCACTAAATGTTGACTTTAAATTAATCAACTTTAATTGACAGATGTACATTAACCGGATTAAATGCTTCCCCGGAGGTGTTGGAAACGGGCCTTAAAGTTATATGTCTGATAATCATATAACACAAATTTTTTTAATATTTTTCTGTAGATCAAGAATAAATTAAGTACTCTACAAAATAGGTTGAATAAATGGAAATAAATAAAAATTCTTTTAGCATAAAAACAATTTAAAGCTTTAACTGATTTATATAAAATTTGTCAAAATATTAGTCTCACCATAGATAGAGCTCAATAAAAATATCACTCGAAAAGAGATAAGAGTTTTATTGGGTCCCTTAATAATATATTTAAAAACATAATGCAATTAAAAAAGTTTATTCTCATTTATTATTGAGTTGTTTCACTTCGCAAAACCTTATTTTTATTTGAATATACCTTTGAAATTTAAATATACATATAGGGAACAATTTCGTGTAATTACATTTTTTAATGTTTTTTCGGACTTGTTTTCAGTATAAATCTTTTGGCATTTTTTTTATCAATTTTACTTTCAAAACCTTAAAATGCAGATTACACAAAATTCATAACTGCATTTAATTAAAAATAGTGGCTGAAAACGATATTAACTACTCGTAAGTTTTTGGTTATAGTAAATAACTAGTTAAAATTTATCTAAAGTAAGCGTAAATGCGCACAGCAGAAGAAAATCTTAATCTTATATGCATTAAAAATATATATTTTAAAAATATTACTCATACACAACGACAAAATTATATTATTCCCTCTTAGAATATCTTTTCCACAGTCTACACTACACGAGTATATGCTTTACTATACAATGCCTTAAATTTAGATTCCCTAAACAAACTTTTAACAAACAATTTGTATGCATTAACCACATACTCTTTGTCATTCTTAATTGTAATCAAACATAAAATCAAATTTAGAATAAACGTTTTTGCACAATATATAAGACACAAGCCAAGAAAAAAGCAAATGCAAAGAATAACAACATTTTATCCGTACACTCCCGGCGCCCATATTTCTTTAACAACTTTCCGGACTGAGAAATCGATCCGGCCGTGTTGTGTAGTTCATCTCGTGTTGCTTCTACATTTTGTGATGACGCTACCAATGTTTCAAGTGTAATAGCACTTTTTTGTGTAGTTTCTGATAGATGTCGTGATATGGCTAACATTTTTTCTGTTACATTATTTTCTTGTGACACCATACTGCCACGATTATGCACTGATGTCATGCCAGTATGACGTTGTCGCAAATCACTTTCACCCGTTATGGCCATAAGCTCCTCCCGATTAGCCTTCTCTATTTCGATGCGAGTCGCAATATTAGCTATGCGAAATGCTTGTAATGTTTTCGAAAATTGATCTCTGTGGGAGTCAACCTCTTTACACAACTCAGCATCGCCAGTGTCTCGTGCCCAATCATCGAGATGTTGTATACTTTTACGCAGTGCTGCTAGCTTGGAGCGACCAGCTTCATTTAATGCCTCCAATTCATGTATATTACCACGATATGTTAAAATATCCTTAGAGGTAGAAAAAATAAGTCGATATCAGTTGACTAAGCATTCGGGGAGACTTTGTTCTTTCTTACCTGTATTATAGCTTTAACTTGCAAATTGTTATCAATCAAATCTTGTCGAATTGATTGTAATGTATACTTTTGTATATCCATTTTGGCTAAATTACTTGTGCTTGTTAGAATATTTTACTATCTAAATTAGTATTGTTTGGCAAATAATCAGCTACATGGGCTTTTACGCTTGCTTCTTCTTCTCAAATATAAATAAGTGGCATTCTCAATAGAGACAGTGCTGTGCCGGGTTAAAATATTTCTTGAAATCAAACAATTTTTTTCCAAGTCAATAATTTTCGTAAAATTACACCACAAATATAGATATTAAAATAAATTTATTGTATATTTGCAATTTTTAATACTATGATTTTATTATTGCTTATGTTATCCTGCTACGAAGCAACTAGTGACTGAATAGTAGTATCAAAGAACGTATATTAATAAGAAGGGAAAAGAACTGTGAACCAATTTGAAAAATTTGGTTGAGGTGAATAGTGAGGTGCCACAGCGAGATTACACCTTCCTTCAAATTTCTCGCGATTTTCGTAGCACAGCGGGGCAATTATGACGGCGAAACGAAATTTCGTACCAAAACAAAAATGAGCCGATTGAGTTGGTAAAAATCGTTTGAATATGCGCGCGAAACGATAGACATGCATAAAAATATGAAAGCAAGCATACATATATACACTAGACAGAATGGAAATCCTGAAGGGATCCGTCTTTTTTTCTTTGTGTCCCCGAGCACGCCTCTACTTCCCTCTTTGGCCTTAGCTTGGGATTCGCACTTCATCCCTAAAATCTAGATTTTTTGCACTTTGCCCAGCCGACTGCTTAGATTTACTTGCTTCCCAATATGAGCTAATAGGCAAACAGCAAATTTAACAGCACGATGCCGACTTGCTACAATTCGGTGGACGAAGTCTGAATTTTTGTCAAAGTCGGAAGAATTTGAAGCAATGTAGTATATGCCACATACCAATGTGTATTGTTGTTGCTTCACATTTCGGGAAGATGTACGATTTGCTAATTTTTGTTACGGGACTTTTTATACCCGGCTGTACTATGTGAACAGAGTGCATTTGATTTGTTCTGCTAACGGTTTTGAAATAATCAAAGTAAGAATATATAAACTATGTAAAAAACTTCATGGAATGGTGAGGTAAATCGATTTAGTAATATCTGTCCCTCCGTCTTAATACACCATAGCTCGAGTAAGAACTGAGATGTTTTAAACATATAAATATCAGCCGAATATCTCGCTTCCACTCGAGTTTAGTGTTCCTTACATGTTTGAGTTTGTGACCGTCCCAAGGAAGCAAATGTTGAGACGGGTAAGCGGAGCCATGTGAGCAGTGGTATTTATGAATTTTATGAATGAAAATGTTGTATTTTTCATGGTTTCATGTATGTATGGGTCTTTCATATACATACAGTCACCTTTGAATGTGTTTGTTTTTGACTTCAGCTCAACTTGAATTTCTGATTTTTGCAAATTTTGCCATCGTCCCGAAGAAGTCGTTCGTGGATGACGGGGTACAAGGGAAGAGAATTTGCAAGTTTTTGTGCATNGTAATTCTTGAGGCAGGTCATTATTTTGTATTGTGTGTACATACATACGTACGTATATATGTATCTACAAATTGATTTATAAGTTAATAAGATTATTAACAAAACATCTAATTAATTTATAAAAATACAATTCATGCATAAATAACCCTCCTTATAAAACAACGCTATTCGAATGCCGACGGCAAATCGTCACTTGCTATTGCTATTGGATAATATAAATATATATAAATACAATAATGAAGTTTATGATTTCACCCTATTTCATTTCATTATGAAAATTAATTTATTTCATCGAATAAATATGGAAGCAAAATTATTTAAAATAAATAATAATAAATTTAAACTGAAATCGCATCATTTGCCTTCTTGTCATTTTTGTTATCATCGTCGCCGTAAAAATGCCGAGAGAACATAAGAAGACTACCCCTTCGAGGTGAATTTACAATAATTTGCGAAAGAACGTCCAAAGCGGACTCACTCCGTCTGTGAAACCTGAGCCACTTCAATGAACAGTTCACAGTTCTTTTCCCTTCTTATTAATATACGTTCTTTGGTAGTATAATATGATTTTGGGATAACCTCCTTTTATTAACTTCCGGTGAACTATAGGCGGTCTATGTTAAATTTTTTTCTTGAATTTATATATATAAATTTATGTAGGCTTGGAAACAATTCATTTTATTTATGTTAACAATGTTTTCAATTGGTCTTGAAAGAAGAAGGTAACAGAAAACATAAAAATGCTTAGAAAGCCTAACCAAAACAGAAGTGATTAAATAGAGTATAACATGTCTATTCGATGTACGTACGTGTACTTTTAAAACCGTTCTCTTTTTATGGACAAACTGAGAAAATAAAATTACTAAAACATTTTCGTTTAATACGACACATTAAGTACCCTACAGTATAAACATGTATATAATTTTCAAATAGCATTTTAGTGAGTTAAGCTAAACAAATATATTACTAAAGAAATATAATGAATGCAAACTTTGAATAAAATATCTTAAATGACCGTTACACACTAGAGCTCCAAATACCCGATTATCGAGCAGCCGAGTAATGAATATATAACAGGCCACCACGCAAACTAAGGTCCCTAAATATTTTACTGCAGTAATCTCTATATTTTGAATTGTTTTATTTAATTAATTTTTGTTAAGTTATTTGTAATTGATTTATAAAAATGTCGAATGTCTACCAACCAACAATATTGTATGGGCATTTATATCTGACATTGAAATTTCTTTTCTAATATTTTTTTTTTTTTGGTAAATCCACATCTGTATTAACGATCAATTAGAACTACGCAAATCAACACACTTTTCTAAATTACTTCGTTCAAATAACTTATCTCACCTGTTATTCTGACTCTACAGTTTCTTATCAATCTCGTCTGGTTATCACTACAATCGAATATACCCGTTAATGGCGCAGGTAGCACTCGCAATCGAATGCTCTCTGAATCACATTATTGTGAGTATTCGCCTGATTTTTTGCCATTCGTGTTTCTGTTTATACTTTTAGTATTTGGCGTCGTCCTATACCACTAATACCATTTGTTGTTGTTGGTGTTGTTGCTCTATATGTTTTCTTGTTAATTCACTACTGGCGTGTATTTTAGAAATTTTGAGCATTGGACAAAATCATTTCGTACATTCAGTTCATCGCGTACGGATGGATGGTGGCGCATTCGTTCAGTCAAAATCGAAACGAGTTTGTTTTTTTTGCTGAGCAGCTGATTGTTTTGACGTTGGCGCATACCTATTAAAGTGACATACCTTCACACTAGGTATTACAGATTTTTTACATATCTACAAATGTACGTATGGATGTGTTTCTTATTTTGCGAGCGTGTAAATTTTTCGTATACTTTATGAACGTAATGATTATGTGCAATTAAATGTATTTAGCTGACTTCTACATAAATCTAATAACGAAATTCAATAAAATGATTGACGTGGCATAGTGCATTGAAAAATAATACTCGCATTCAGCAAAGCTACAATTTCAAATTGTGGTATTACCTGCAGTAAACAAGTTAACGAAAGCCATAACAAAACAAAAGCAAAAAACAATGCAAAGAAAAGTAATCCCCAACAACAGCACAAAATGCTAATATACAACAACGAAAATTTTGTTTATGTGTACAAATCAATACAAACTATGTAGTTTATATTTCGTTATAAATTAATAAGTACTTTTATCTGCATATGAATTCAAAAAAGATAAAAATTAATGTTTGTATGTAGTTATAAAATGCAAGCCGCTCTGTAGCCAAAGCAATTTTTCGCACATTCTTTAATGGCCTATATCCAGCGGTGTATGGTGGTTAAAACTACACTAATGCTCACACATACCGAACCAATTTTTACACACAGTTCGCTGACCTTCGCTTTTGTATTAAGAGCGAAAGTTCAAATAAAAGCAAAAGGCTTGCAACAAAAAGAGTGGCAAAAATGTGAGCTTGAGCCATTTATTAGGTCAATACGGAAAAATTAAAAAAAGAGTCGATTATCTAGTAATTTCCTATACATACATACATATAAACTACGTATAGCCCGTGGATTTGTATTATGTGTTTAGCTTGTGGTTTATTTTATACAGTTATTATGAATTTCGACATAAACCAGTTGTAAAATAAAACTTCAGATTTTTTTTATTCTTTGCAAACGTGTGTTTTAAATTTTTTTGTATTACAATCACCAGTTTATCGCATGCACAGTGCAATTATTTTTTGCTATTTATGTTTTTTCTTAAAGAATATTGTTTTCATTGCAAATTTTATTTTTTAAGATCCATTTATGTAGAAAAAAAATTATGAGGAATTTTTGTAATTTTTTTTTATTGTTTATGCAAATATAATTTCAAAACTCATAAAATAATGGCATGAAAATATGCGTAAGGACGATTTAAAAGTACGACGTATACAAATATTTATTAAAACTCCCAAAAACAACAACAACAGTAAAACTCATTAATTCATTCTTCATATCTTCCACAGGTTATGAAGCAATAGCTGCGACATATTCGGATTTTTAATTGCTACTTTTGGCTTATTTTGTTAAAGAAAAATGAAATATTTCGGTGGAATTGAAGGGTGAGTAGAAATACTTTCGATTCAAATACTTTTGTATAATTATTCAAAAAGCTGTTGAGCAGCTGACTGTCGCTTACATATGTATGCATGTACATATGTATTTATTTTTATTGAAAAAAACCACAACAAATATAATATATTAACTAATTTTACCGTAATTGAAGTTAATTATTCATCAGTCTATATATACATATATATCATATATACATATATAAAAGTCGTATTGTAATTGCTGGAGCGATTTACGACCGAGCTCCTCCTCCAATTTGTGTTATGCGTCTTAGTGTTTTTCGAACAAATGAAGGGACCTGCAGTTTATACGGCCGCGATAAATTTAATACATTTTCTATAATTTTTGTTTGTTGGTCGGACCAGGACTCGAACGCTGGCCTTCCGAATGGTAGTACGCAATGATAACACTCGGCCATCGCGGTCGTAGGCTAATAAAAATAAAAATATAAATAAATATACTCGATTTATTTATGTCAACTGTTGTACGCATCTCATAACAAATTGTAACACATTTTTGCTTATTTACATATAAATTATAACATATTTACCAGGCGTCAATTGACGCAGAAATACATATGTAAATTTTAGATGAAGCAAGATGAATTTAATTACAGTCGAAAGAATCCTCCAACCTTGAGGCTGGCAGTTCGACGTGGTCCTTTGATTCTGAGAACGCCATTTACCGGAAGAGATTACATTAGTGGTTGGCTCTCGGTGAAAGGCCTTAAAAATGGACACAGTCCTTTCCAACAATTTTTGTCTATGGTGCTGAATGCGAGAGATATAGTCTAGTGCTCCCTTCATGGAGACAGGGTTCAGCCTTGAGTTAATGTCTGTTGGTGCACCCCAACGGCAAGATCCAACGAGATATTTCTAGCACATCATGAAATTAGCCCTCTTAGCTCGTAGCATAGATGTTTTACTTCGAAAGTGATGCTCCCGTGGCATCAGCTTTAATTCCTCACCGAGTTATCGTTAGTCCCCGGCGTTCAAATCGTAGAAGCGTAATTTACATACGGCCGCTCAATTGTCTTCTATGTTAGGAGCAACGTTTCTTTGTCCCTTCTCCAGATATTGTTGGCTAAAGCTTTGAGAATTTCGTTGCGGCTCTGTTCTTTTGCGACAATTGTAGTCGTATGGAGAGTGAAGGAGTGTAGGCTGTCGAATATGAATCCTTAGGGCTGTTAGTTGTCGTAAAATATTTTTATGCCATTGACTCTCACGTAGAGTTCGAGCCGGTGCTTCTTCGTCCAGATGGTAAAGAAGGTACCCGAGGATCTAGCAGGTTTTAGTTGTAGAAGGTCTTCAATTTACTTTCGAGCATAAGTTATCAAGACCCTGGCTAATATCGGACACGTTTTGTATTTTTATTCATTGATAGATTTTTAAATTGCAGTTTCTAAATTTTCCATAATTTTCTCATTGCAATAAACAAAAAATTAAAGCAAACAAATTTTGAAGAATATAGAAATGCAAAAAAAAAAAATTGTTTCAACCGGGTTTCTCTAAGTGAACAGGAATAACAACATCAAAAGAGAAATTATTGATTATAAGCAACAGAAATATCCTGGCATAGTCAAAAAAATATCAGCATCCATGACAACATCTCCAAACGGGCTGAGACTGATCGACTTGTCGAGGCCGAAATATGGTAGTCTGTAACTCACGATTATATAATTTGATTAAATTGACGCTTTGTAACACCTGAAGCATTTTCCGGCCGAGCTTCTCCTTCGATTTGTGGTGTGCGCCTTAATGTTTTTCCAACAAATGGGAGGATCTGCAGTTTGTACTAAGTCGCATCCGAAATAGATTCGAAGGGGTTGACATTCTTTGCCGAGGGGCGCCCGCATTTAGAAAATTAACTTAATTTTTTATTCATCCATCAAGCTACTTGGCTGTCGCTAGTTCGAAAGACTCGAAACCTAGTCGACCACGTTGTGATGAACGGAAGACACGTCCCCTGAGTCTTAGATGTGCATACGCGATGCTTACATTGACTCGGGCCATGATCTTGTTACAACTAAGATACGCTTCCGATTGCAATTCGTCTACACAATTTGCAATTAGTGCCGTTAATTTCACTTTCCTCAGATTCGACAAAGAAGCGGTGCAAATGGGTTTGATAGAGCACGAGGGCATTATAAAATATCTACCGTCATCAAACAAAATAGTGAAGTTGTTGACGATTTCGTCTGCCTAGGTTACAACATCAAGCCGAATGAAAATGTCGGCCTGGAAATCCAAGCCCTAATCAGCCTTGTCTGGTGCAAAGAAAACTTGGTGGCCAGCAGAAAAAAAAACAAGAAAAAAAAGATATAGTCTCGGTTTCTTGAGAACTATCAAATTTGAATTCACTGACAAATCGCAAATTCATCATAGTAGACTCCCTCTATCAGAACCCACTGTACATTATACCAATGTCTGTCATTTTTTCACTTATCAAAAGCTTTGAACTAAATGAACTTGTTGCTATTTGTTGCATTTAATATTATTATGCAACTGCAATCAAAATAAATCACAATAGATTACAAAAAATGCACTCAAAGTGGGAAATTGAAATGAATTATGAGGGTATTCAGCGAAGAGTGTATTTAAAAGATTAGTAGATTTATATGTAACTACAATAATGCCATTCCAGCGCAGTTTTTTAAGGCAAAAAATGTGAAATAGAAACGTAAATAAATGGCCATTAATTGAACCATATAATACAATTGAAAAACGTAATAAAAAATATATGCACATATGTATGTATGTACGAATATATATAGGAAATATTATGGAGAAAAATGCGCGAGTTTCTCATTAAAATAATTACAAATTTTTGCTATTACTAAAGTTTCTCTTTAAAAAGTCTCATTACGCTTGAAATTTTTGAATTTATTTCAATTTAATTTCGAAATTTTTAAACGTACACACTTACTTAATTATACATAGCATTCATACATACATACATATAAATATATATATGTACTTTAAGGTGGATAGAAAAACAAGAATTTTGGACGCCAACTTCAGCGTGGACGGAAAACTTGTGTAACCGTTTCAAATTAGATCAGACAAAACTTTAGCTCAATCGGTTTATATTTACTATTCCCACATCGAGCACAAAGTGAAAAGGTCATTGAAACTCCGGTCTTTCTGTATGCATTCCCCTTCCCTTCCTACTTGACTGGAGGTTGACAGCTGCTTCACTGCGTGTTCCTCATAACGCCTTGAAACAGCTCTGAATTCTTCTAACTAGTCTCATTTACTCGGCTCGACGAATTATTGGCTCTCGCAGGTTATTATCGTCCTTAATTCTTCCTGCTTCGCTGCGTTATTGCCATTTTTTGGCGTGATCTTTATTATCAGGCATAATGGCATATACATAGAGTACTGCGTACTTCTTCGGGGGGCTATGCTTTTAAAGCAACTCTCGTCCAATACTCCATTTCTTCATACAGGTAAAGTAGTAGCTGAATATGCATTTGATTTATATCAGAAGGCATCAATCCCTGCTGGTTCATCCGACAAAATTGTGTTATGTAAATGTTCCCGAAATAAGACCAAGCAAAACTCTGAACTAGTGAGAACTACGACAATGTTAAATATAAAATAGTTCCTTGAAAAAAAGAGAAATTTCTTCTGAACTAAAGGATGTGAGCTGGCAAGGTGGACCTTAAAGTCTCTGAAACACTTCACAATATCCAGCATGCTTCAGCGTAACCTATCTTCTGAATTTGGTCAATCCCTGACTCATAACTTGCCGCAAACAGACTCTGACTCTGAATGTCCTAAATCTGATAACAGTGGTGATGATTTCAAATCAAGGCCTGTTAGCTCTGGGGAACAAATTTTGGAACACTGCTTTATTACCGACAGACAAACTGCTGATATTTCATCTGCTGTTTCTTAAAGATGTTAGCATCCTCACAAAGCATGGTATGTCATGTAACTTACAAAACAAAGATAAAAAGGATCAAAGTCGAGGGTGAGGATGGGGCGTCCGTGTGCATTCAATCGTGAACTAAAATAGGATTTTATATAAGGAAAAGGTGCAGACAAAGGCAGGCATTACGTTTCTCTTATGCAGGAGCCCGGTACAATGTGCTTTGGTCCTGTACAAAAATCTAGTACTGATGTAGGAACAGATTCATTTATTTTGGATTTTGCAAACAAATTGGTGGCACTGAGTGTATTGGCCTAATCCCGGTGCCACTTATTATAAACTGTAGGTCCCTCCATTTGTTGGAAAAACATTAAGACGCAAAATCAGAAATTGAAGGAGGAACCCGGCCGAAAAATCGCTTTAGCGATTTGGTCACCTCTGAAAATATCCGGGCCTGCAAATTTAAGTTAATTTGCCAAAAGTTGACATAAAAGAGCTCAGAAAGGATCAAAAGTACATTCATGAAGTTAACAAGGCCATTCAGTCAGGATCTGGTAATGCAGATCTATGTTGGCAAAATATCACACTATAGATGGCTGACAACAGCAAATGGACTGCATCGTCCATATATCATGACTCTAAGCTATTCAAAAAATTCTTCGTCGTAGACATCAAACGTCAAATACAAAAGCGTAAGCATCAGGTTCGCGATTCTCGTGTTCTGTTTGTTAAGTTGAACGCGACGAGCACTTTAGATTTGATTTCTGGGCTGCCTAACGTTTCTAATGGTCCACCAATTTTGTTGGGAGTGTCAGACGAAGACATCAAATCTTGTGTCAAAGACAAGTTCAAAAAAAAGTGAGAATATGCCTGCAAGAAAGATTTCAAGGGTCCCTCAGATAAAGAGGACTAAATATTGTATAAAAAGCTCATTTATGGTTTATTTATTGGGATGGGTAGTGCGGAGTTGATGCGGCTGTCAACCCCAGCACACTAAGACTAATAGGCCCATTGTGATACCACTGAGGCTCCTGCCTGCACAATCTCAAATGATTAAAGGCAAAGAAATTTCCAATATTCGCTGGGGAAAACTCAGCGAGACAGTCGAAGAAGTGTT